TTCTGCTTACATTCCGTTGCAAACAGTCTCTAATACTACAGCTTGGTTTAAGGTCAGTGCCCCATCTGGACATCTTGCTCCCCTCCACCGGCTACTACTCTATATGCCATCGTCATTCTCCTTCCTCTTGCCAGCATCCCTGCCCTTAGTTCCTGCTTATGGGCTCAAATGTTTCTCTTCCTTTCTCTCTCCCTCTCTTGTTTTTCAGGAGATGAGAGTTGATGCAGCTGTTTCTGACTCCCTTTCCTAATTTAGACAAGCTTTAAGATAAAAATAAATCCTTCTACTCTTAAGAGATAAGTTTAACCACTTAAATAAAATGACCCAAAATGCTTGTTAAAAGTTCAGATTCTCTAGAATGTTCTTAATTTGTCAAATCAAAATTTGGTCAGATGGTGTCTTAGTTTCTTTTCTATGACTGAGGCAAAACATCATGTCCAAGGCAACTTATGAAAGAAAGCATTTAATTGAGAGATTGCTTCCAAGTTCAGAAGGTGAAGACATGACCATATGGCAGAAAAACATGGCAGAAGGAAGGCAGGAATGGTGCTGGAGCAGTAACTGAAAGCTTAGATCATATCCATAAGCAGGAAGCACAGAGAGAGAAAGAGGAAAAGATAGACAGAGACAGAGAAAGAGATGAGGAGAGACTGGCCTCCAAGCTCATCTCCAGTGACATACCTCCTCCAACAAGGCCACACCTCCTATCCCTCCTCCAAAACAGTTCCACCAACTAGGGACCAAGTGTTCAAATATTTTAGCCTATGAGGGCCATCCTCATTAAACCATCACAGGTAGCAACATCTTTTAACCAATTTTAAGTATACTGTCTTAAGAAAAGTAAAAGAGAGGAAGGAGGAAGGAAGGAAGGGAATTTAAAACCACATTTCTCACATCTATATGGCTATATAAAATTTAAAAGTGATATGAAATTAGAAGTTTATAGAAAGAAACAAAATAAGTGGTAGCATTGGGGATTATAAAAATAATTAACCTTCTCTGAAGCTTCTTCCTCAAACTAGCATATGGCCCTCTTTCTTCAGTACTGGCAATGAAGCCCTTGGGTAGAATTTCCCATGTGAGCTGGACCTTACTGGTCTTTTCTGAAGAGGGATTCTACTAGCCTCTGTGGGTCTTCCCTACTGGGAAGCTATGCACAAAATGAGGGCTTGAGCCTTTTGCTCAGCAACACAAGTGGATACACTTCAGAGGAACCAAACTAAAAACTCTCTTTACAGAATGACATAGATCAAATTGACTTTCCCAGTGGCCTATATTGAGAAACAGATGGTTATACTTCAGTTTATCAGTGTCTTCTTTTCTCTCTTCTTTCCTCTCCTCTTCACTCCTCCTCCTTCTGCTCCCCTCTTCTTTTTCTCCCCCTCCCTCTCTCACTTCCTCATTCTCTCATTCTCATACAAACATCGCTGTGACACATATAAATTATACAAATAAAACTATATTTTCTAATCATCTATTTTTGTCAAACTTCCTGTTTTTAATTTTTTAAACTTTGAGACTTGTTTGTGTGTGTGTGTGTGTGTGTGTGTGTGTGTGTGTGTGTGTGTGTGTGTGTGTG